ATGCAGCACGCATCGGGGAGAAAAGAAATAAGTACGATATTTTGGTTGAATGGCATTAGTTAAGAGATCACTCGGAAGATGTAGGCAAAGACGGAAAGATAATGTTAAAATGAGATACAAGTTTCTCAAGACTGTTGGTACTAGCAAGACAGCTGAGATATTGCGTCATGTAGTCTCAGAGAAGTTGACCGACTTTTCAGAGGCGGTTACTGTCTGCATCACCAGGACAAGGAGGAGATGCTCAGAGCGTGTGAAACGTCGGCCAACTTCTATGAGGCTACACGCCTGAATACACCTGGAGGTTGTCGTCTCAACGAATCGTAGGGAAAACGTTCATGGCTCTGGACAGGATTAATCAGACTCTGACTGGACAGGAATCAAGGCAGGCTATTATGAACACGGAATCGAAACTTCCGATTCCATCGGGGGTTTACTGACTAGCTTCTCAAGAAGAAATCTGCTCCGAAGATTGTGTGTATTTCTGAAGATAGTAGGAAAAACAGTAACATTTGTGACAAACTGAATGTGGCTCTTGTATATCAAATAATTATGAAACGTTTCCCCGGTTTTTTATGGATCCCACACTTTTATCACTGTGTTTACCACAACCCAACACTGGCCTCCATCCTGGATCAGTGTGGTCCATTTCACAACCTCGCCTTCTATTTCTTAAATACATTTTAATATCATCTCTCCATCTATCACTTCGTTTCTCAAGCGATCCCACGTCCTCCATGCGTCTTTATCTGCTACCAGTCGTATCACCTTAGTAGGTGAAGAGTACATTTAAAAGATCCCAATTTCCTGCATTTTGTTGCATTCCTTTTTATTTTTCTTTAAAGTGAGATTTGTGGACGCATGAGGTTTTTCAAGCACAAGTAATTGTATTTTTGTACATGTTTATCTTTAGGATTCTATGCAGAAAAAAGGGACGTTACTAAACCAACGGTTCCGAACCTGTGATGTGTGGCCATTCTATGATAAATTGAATTTTATGGTTTATTTAATGTCGCTGTTTGCAACGACGAATGATGGACCCTGGTACGTTCAGACAGGCTGCGTGAGTCACCGCAGCTGTGTTTACATTTGGCATTCTGTTAGATGTTTATTTATATTGCTGACAGAAAGAGTATCTTCCCCTAGCTAACGTTACGAAATATTTCAAAACCCTTCGCTTTTCAGTAACATTTAGTAACTAAACCAGCGAATAACAACGTCTTTGTGGGGTGACTCAATGATCCCAAGCCATTCCTCTTTACATTTTCTCTGCAGCCATCGTTATGTTCTACTGAATGTTTCACTGGCATTCCGGTAGATAGCAGCACTCATTCTACAGTCGCCTAGTGCAATGATATTTACAAATCCTTATGATATCAACCGTAACATAAAACTCGTTAACCCCTAAAGCAGAGACGAGGAAGAAATATGACTAAGACGAAGATGAAGTAGATTATGTTCGGGAATCAGATCACGATACTGAAACCGAGAAGACAGACTTTCAAATACTGTCCACAGACCAGGAGAAAATCCCTGGGAGGGGAAAACGGTTTTAGTGCGGTGCAGGGGTGATGTTTACTATCAAGTAGGCTAGAGGGCTGCTATTGGTGGGAAGTGTGATACGTTAGAGTTTTACTCTACTGCACACAGACTGAAAACATCAAGCAGTTGTGAGTAGCGTTTTGTGAGTACACCTGTACTGTGTTCTGTGGGTGTTGTGATAATATTCTAGATTAAATCACTGTGCCACCGTGAGATAATCTTAAAGCTATACACATCAGAACACATGAAAGCCTGTTGTCTGTTGTTCGTTCAGTGGTTGTGAAACGAATGGTTTTAGGATGGGTCGTCACTCACCGCGAAATCTTGCGCATGCGCGTATATCGAATTCCTAGCAGGGATTTTCTCCTTGTCTGCGGACTGTACAGGAGAATCACATTGACGTAGCTGAGAAGGAAGAAGTGACTGACGGTACAAGACATCCTGAGTGTGTTTCTACGGATAAAATTATGAATGAAAATGGCAAAATATTCACCCCTCAATATGTTCGCACTAGAGCTAGAAAAAAAAATTTACCTTTCCGTGGATACCATCTAAAATTCTATGAATGCAAGTTAAGAAACTGGGTGTTTTTATTATTTCTATATGAAGTATGTACCTGATCACTCATAGTACAAATACTTCCTTCCAATAAAATTTCTCAACACAAACAGATGTTCTTGGAAGTGATAAAATCGAGATATCTCAATCTTACTGACATATCGGAAAAAGGTGGAATGGGTGCAGATTGTCTTCAAAGCACTTTGTCTCGACTTTTTTTAAATTCCTGCACTGTACTTTACGTTTTGAAAATATTATCATGGACAGCCAACACAGAAATGTAATGATAGAGGCAGCAACATCTCTGAAACATCGGTAAACGTCTCAGACTACACGGCGCTACAACACAGAAAACAGCCATCTTCAAGTTAACATTTATCGTTGAAGAAGTCATGAAGATTGTTTAAGTTCGTTTCTTTGAATAAAAGGCAGTAGGCAGCAGACTACAATATTTCAGTTTAAAATGTCAGTAATGGAAGCCCTTTGCCGTGGGGGGGGGGGTGGTGTATGGAGCAACAGACAGTTCGTAAACAACTTGGAGACCACCTCATTTCTAAATGTCAGCGGCAGCTGTCTAGTCCATTTATCTCACTTCATTTCTTCCACGCTTCAAGGTACACACTCAATGTTTCATCCTCGTATTGCACCGCAGTTTCTGTCTCTTTGTCTTTGTACTTCACACTAGTGAGTGGATCGTTCGGTTCTCTGCAGATGTAATCAGAACCACGCATTTCACATAAAATCAACAACGAAAATAGATGGTGCAAGTGAATGGAACATTTGTTTCTTTGTTTTTACGCTTTTTAAATGCCCTTCCAAAACGTGGCACAGTTTAAAAAATATTTAGGGTAATCAGTAACAAACCAAAATAACGTTCACAAAAAAATTAAAGGAATAATAAGTTTCAAAATATTTTTTTATTTCCATCTAAAATCTAGAAAAAGAAAATTAGTCTAAATCATAAACACCTAAAACAGACACATAGAAAACTAAATACATGATCAGGTACAGTCAGGAGAACTCAAATCAAAATCAAAATTACAATAGCTAAATTATATCAGAGAATGTAGCTTGTTAATTATTTTAAAATGCTCAAAAGTTAAAATATTTACGAATTACAGTAACAATATTTAATAATTCAGTCCATACCTTAGACAAGAACATCACACTTCCCCAACAACAACAAAAAAACTGTTTGTGCTTTTTAAGCAAGTACTCCCTGAAGATGCCTGTCTTCTGAGATTTACCGACGTTTCAGAGGTCTTTGCTGCCTCCATCATGAGGCTCACGTGAGGGAAATGCTTACTGGTGTCTGTCTGAAGCTTCTAGATATAGTGAGCCCAATGTACTACTCAATTCATTACATTTTACCCTCGCGTCAGATGTCTACAAACGTAAATATTTCTACAAGAAAGAAGCCTGTTCTACTATGGGTGTGAATGGTCACCCCCCCCCAAAAAAAAAAAATTGTTTGGTACTGATTTGGGGAACATTTGCTAAGGACCTCACACAGAAGAAGTGTCAGTAAGATCTCAGCATCATTCTGGTCGAGTGAACGCAATAAAAAACCTTCAGCTACTTTTGAATCATGAATAATTTCCACAAACCTTCAGAGTATCATGAGCTACATGTTACTGCGTGATGTTCGCTGCCTTTTAAGTATTCCGGCAACGTAAGTAAGTAGGCGGCTTCGAATCAGAGCCGTCTATCAAAACTCGTAATAAGACACATAGCGGCGCTTAACGTCGTTGAGTGGAGTTTTCAAAACTTCCGATCGTAAAAGTTTTGCCATTAGTGACCAATATCTATAGAACAGACATTTCTGCACAAACAACACAAGTTTCGTTAAAATTATTGGATCGTTTTAGTTGTCCTCGTAGCACTAACAGAAGAATGTGAAAATGTTTATAATTTTATAAAGTTCAGAGACACGTTCTTCCCCGTGGTACCTTATGGATAAACACAGTGACCCTGTGATGTAGACTGCAATGCCTACACGGAAAATGGCCGCCCGTGACTGAAAACTGGCAGTTTTTATTACGACGTTAAGCTAATGAGAAAGTATACATTTTGTTTGTATCTCATCTTCCATAAAAGTTAAACAAATATCTATAAGTCTGTACACAAATACTTCTGACAGTCCAGATAAAATTCTTGATATAAAAAAACAGGCAAAGTAACGACAAAAGGCTTCTAATATGCTCCCATTGGAAAAAGGAGAGTCCTGTAAAGCTATTTTATTAAGAAAAATGCGAACAAGTATTCCACGTTATCAACGAAACATAGAGGTTTCTTGATTGGAATGTGAAATAATGAAGGTCGTTCAACCACGAACATTATAAAATCAAAGCACAGATCTCGACTTACTGACGCCCATCTTGACGATTGTTTGCGAGCAGCAACATCATCTTACACCCCCAAATTTGAAAAACCGGCCAATGAAATGCAGCGCCAAACATCACACTAACTTCCCACTTGAGTAATAATAATTGTACTTTTGAAAGTACGTATTTCTGATTGCATGGTTTCTTGTATCATTAAACGTCGTGTTGTTTTGTGTATTATTTTGTGTCCATATCTTATTTATCAAGAGAAAAGAATTTGGCTTTGTTAATTGGTTGGTGCCCGCCACGATCTCATAAACTCTCGAATGTACCCGTAGGCACAAAAAGGTTGGGGACCACTGGTCTAGTCGATACTTACTGCCAACTGGGCGAAAGAAAGAACACATAATTTGGGTCTTAGTAGTTTAGACAAATCGGTTTTGCTGTAAACATTTAAAGCTTGTTGTATTTCCCACCATTATGACCCATCACACAGACACAGACCGGTAGAAATATCGGCTTCGTAACACGACACACAGATGTGAAAGAACGATTATAAATGTGAAGGGTTTTACTTACGGGTATGCCGTTGACCAGCCAGGTGATGTCGGCTACGGGCCGTGCTGGGCTGGACGTGCAGTTGACCTCTAATCTTTCTCCCACCTGATAAGCGGACTTCGGTATCAGCACCTCAGGTGGATCTCGCTGCGTCTCTGCGTACACACAGCGACATTCCTAATATTTATACCGGCTCCACGTCATTATCACTGAAGCCACCTTCTGAACCCGTCAGATTCAATAGTGATACAGTGAGATTTTATTACGTTACTGAATAATTTGTAATATTTGGCAGATACGTCATCTTATACATAATGCCCTAACTTGATAATATATACAAATGATCGAGTTTCTTACTAGAGATGGGATAAACTGATGTCATAACCTAGGGAGTTAGACACAAATTCGGATTTTGCTTTATGATACTAACGAGTAGCTATAAACTTGCGGAAATACAAATGAACGGAAGCATTTAACCGACCAACTCCACGAAGCACGGGCCTTTAGAAACTGATATTCTTTTACCCAGTGCATAAATTTCGCGCCTTTCAAGGAACCTTGAATTTCCTAACCCTTTTCACAACAGTCTGCCACTGGTCCCCATCTTGAAACAAATTAGTACAGTTATTACATATCACGGTGTTTAATTATGGTCAACTTAAATATTATCCTCCCATATACGACTAGTTCTTGAAACAGTCTCCGCCCTACACGTGTTTTGGTAAAAAATTTCAACAAAATGAATATCATTACAATACTGCTGTTTGACCACACTTCATACAATTCCATTAAAATTTAACCCCCCCCCCCCTTCTGCGTTCTATCTGTAGGTCAGCTGACTTGCAGAGATATTCTTACAACAACTTAAATCTTTATAAATTTACAATTTCTCATATACAGCGGATCTGCGTATAAATATTTTAATCTCAATTAAGGACCGAAGGTATAAAACAGATTTTTTTCATTAAATTTCAGCGTGGATCTTCCATACGTTTGGTTATGTCTTTGAGAACAAGGTACTTTCAATCAGTGCTTATAATTTAGACCTATTTAATAATTAGTAAACAAAAGACTATTTCTAGTGTTACTCATTCCGTGACACAAGCATTCTACCTATAAGAAAAGAGAAATTTCCCGTTTCTGATTTACAGATTCAGGGGATCGATGCTGTGTTTGTTCTTGTTGACCGACCAAATGCAATGAACACGCACTAAAGTAACCTTCACCAAATTTTATGCTTCAAAGCCACGGAAGGACTAAAGTCCTTCATGGCGCGGTCCTTAATCAACAACACAACGATATTCAGCTTCATTCGCCCGCTATTCTTGTTGCTACGTTGTACGATTTTTACTGACCTTCAAATACGCAATTTGGTGCCAATAAACAAAATCCATTATCTATATCAGCGTTGTCCAACTGGCGGCCCGTGACCACTTGTAATCCGACCTGCGAAAGTATTTGTTAATTTGTTACTAGTTAGTACAAACCTATTTTTTTCGAAGTTGCCATTCTGTCACTGGTAAAAGAACATTCTGCTCAAAGCTCTCACAAAAGCCATTGACTTCAAAAGCATAAGATGTACGTTCTACTGGTACAAATTATTATTGATCAGATACAAGCTGTTAAAGTAGCGGATTTAAAATAATTTGTGTAAGTTTTCCAGGTAAATATTATGAAAGATACAAGCTGTTGCAGGAGCAAAATAATATACAACTTAATAGCAGTTTGTGCACATTTAAATAAAATTTATATTTCAGCATATGCAATGGTAATTTGTCATTTCTGAATAATTATTACGATTATTATTATTACGTATTAAAGATAAGTAAAATGCAATAGTGACAGTAGGGGTTTCTTGGCCTTTGGGTCCAACAGAAAAACTATTTTGGCCCGAGCGAGGAAAGAAGTTTGAACCCCCTGACCTATATAAACGGGAGAAAAAGTGATTGTACGAGTATGGTCAAAATCCAACATAAGCAACAAAACGAACCGACAGTAAACCTTACGTTTGTGCTGGTATAAAAGTATAGTCTAATTTTTTAGGACAAATGTAAAGAGGGGGAATGTCCTAGATCAGTGTTATTCAACCTTGGGTACGCGAAGACATCTTAGGGGGTACGTGAAATTTAAAAAAAAAATATTTTATGATAAACACTGAATAATCAGTAATGTAATTTATTTAATTTATTTTAGATGTCGATTGTAAACTATGTATAACTTGAATTATACACCAACAGCTTTGAGGGGTACAAAGTTGAAGAGAAATTATATCTGGGGGTACGCGAACAAAAAAGGTTGAATACCACTGTCCTAGATCATATACCTTGTCCAGAGCCCACCGCTGCCTGGTTCTTGCACTTATAAATGAATATAATATGGTGGTTCAAGGTTGATCCGGGCTCTTTCCTTTACACAAAACACATACATGTCAAAATTATTTATGTTCTTCATTATATTACCCCTATACACTGACACATTTCTCTATCGCCGTGGTAAGGCAGTGATGCCCGTAACGAGGAAGGAGGTGAACCGACTGCGTAGCCAATTCAAAACACCACGCTTCAATTCGTCATCTATCTTGAATATCTGCCCTCCCAGATGCTTTTTCACTGGCGCAAACAAGTGATAAATCACTAGGAGCTAAATCCGGACTTTAAAGAGGGTGGTTCAAGATTTCCCAGTCCAAGGCTGCCATCGTGCTCTTTGTAATAATCGCCGTATGTGGACGCGCGTTATCATGAAGCATGATGTTTCCTTCTGATAGTTTTCGGTCTTTTGACGTGAAAACGTCTTTAAAATCAATGCCGGGTGTGGGGAGGCAATCGCGCCCAAATGAGCGACAGTTTCTGTCGAAGTAATTTCAAACTTCAATAACTCGGCTAAACATAGACATAGCGCCGCCATCTTAGTCTCGTTTTAAAGAGGAAGGATGATAGTTTGTGCCAGTACCACTCCGACATTCGTGGCGGCCGGACGTCGCGAACTGCGCACGCGCAATTGAACCCACGATTTTCGACTTTCCGGATTCGACACGTGTCCATAAACGGGATCATATCTCAGAGACTAATTATCCGATCCGAGTGAACCAAGTGTTGTTTTGAAGAGGAGTGTATATGTTACAACTCATCCTGGCCTCTAAGTGTGTATCTCAGAAACTCAAAAGAATACGAGGCTGTGAATTTGAAAAAGTTTGAAACTTTCCCGATTTTCTTAAAATGTCGCGATATATGAGGGCAAAGTACAACCAGAATTACAAAAATCGGGCACGAATGCGTAGAGCACAAAATTCCAAAGACAATGACGCCGAAAACGCCGGACCCGGACCCAAAACCAACGCGCAGTACTGCCGCGAATATAGGCAACGTAAGCGCGCTCTGACAACTCAGACGGCATCTGACGAGCCTGGGTCAAGTATGGATGTGTATGGTATTCAAATAATTTCAAAGCCATATGTATCCTACTTCTCATACCACTACTCTGTATTCAATAAATGTAAGTTGCAAATGAATTAAACGATTCAAAACAAAATTTTTGTTTAATTTCAATATACTATACACGACTGACGTTTTCACGAAAATAACTGCGGCAGTGTCCGACACCGCCTATCAATATTTTTTTTTCTTGCGAATTACTGCGTGAACATCATCGACAAGTCGGTTACTGTAATACTGAGCATTAATTGTCGCACATGGTGGCAGAATATTGACATCAATTACTCCTGAATCCCAAGAGACAGTTTATTTTTGCAGCCGAAGGCTGTCTTGAATTTCTTGGTTGTGTTTGTAGCGCCATTCCAAACTGGACGTCTGATTCTAGAGTGAAGTAGCACACACATGTATCAAGTCACTATTTGCTCCAATATTGCGTCCTTCTCCAGTTTAATCCGCTTCAGAAGGTCGGCAGACACAATGTGGCCTTCTAGTCGAACGTCAGCATCTTTGGGATCCTTCGTGCACACACTTTCTTGACCAATAAATGTTCACAACTTAGTGTCTGTACACTTCAAACATTTGCGCATTCTGTGGTTGCAATTTTACGTACTTAATTCCTTTTTTTTAAAAAAAATCACCTGCTCAATGCGACGAATGATCATACCTGTGCCAGCTGTCGAATTCACGTGACCATGTGGTCTGTTAGCGATGGAATTCAGGAAACTTGTTGCACCAATTATAAACTGTTGCAAAGTCTCTTGCCCATATTGTGCATTTAACAAGAGGAGAATTTCAGCAGGTTCCACTCTGAGTGACAGACCAACGCCATTTTGTACTGCTTCTAACGCGAAGACTAGAATGGTATGCTACGTGGAAGGGAATAATAACAGTGTTGCACCATCTACCATGAAGGGTATTTCGTAATTCTGGTAAACACATATTATGTAAAAAAATAAGTCCTATGAAACCTTGAACCACTCTCGCATATTCATTACATGGTAGCGTGGAATGAGTTCAATACACGCGATTCTGGAAGTTTAGCATAAAGGGTTAGGAAGTAGGGCGGCTTGGTTCCTGATGCTAACACTCTGAGAACTGAATATACACTTACCAATGACCAACAGCTCGTGGTCGTTGGACGGCTTGGTATAGATAGGCGTCTGAGTGGAGACTTCGCATGAATAACTGCCAGATGATTCAAATTGCATGTTCTTGAGTAGAATCTGCCGCTCGTTGCTTTTTTCCAACTGCAGAGAAACAATATAAACTTTTACCAAGTATCATTACTGCAAACCAGAAGATGAAAATTATGGTTACGAAGTGTACGGAATGTCTGAAACAAATGCCACCATAAAGACTTATGTAAGATTTGAGGTTTTCACAGCGGTGAGTATGAAGATTTCTGTCTTCTGGGTTGCGCTGTGTAGTCTGGTCGATGTTAACCAACGTTTCAGAGGTCATACTGCCTCCGTCATCGACCAGACTACACAGCGCAACAACCCAGAAGACAGAAATTTTCAACATAAAGATTGTTTCATGGTATCTCTGATTACTGCAACGTACGGCCACTATTACTATGGAGCCACGTGTATGTATAACATTAATTTAACGATATATATAAATAATTCAAAGGAACATAGTCCGTATTGAGCAGTTAAATCTCGCTCAGTTAGGCAATACATTGTTGCTGTTTACGGAAGTTGATGCGTCACTGTCGTGTCAAGGAAACTCTCATTCAACAAGAAATTCAGTTACACTGTACGCAGTAAGAAACCTCTTGTAAAAAAATTTTAAAGGGTCTGACTTTGTGATAGATATGCAATGTTTTCATCTTCCACATACATGAGGAGAATTCCAAGAAATGGTAAATGTAAAAGTTTTTGCTAGTCCCACGTTAGTGACGCCTGCAAACTAGGAACTCAAAGAGTTCCATTCACGACATTGTGAAGAAGGAAGATTTCCTTCCGTCTAAACTACAGTCATTGAAAAATATGACATATGGGATCCATACCTAAGAGTATAAATGTGCAAAAGGTTTCTTTATAATACAGAAAATAACGAAAATCCACATGTCATACCTTTTCTGATTAAACAACATCTGGATAGCAAATTATACAGCAGAGACACAAACAGTGTGAAAATAGCATGCACCTACTAGAAACCTTTTGAACTAAAACCAATTAATTATTTATTTATTGGTATGCATTTTAATTAGCAAATGTTGTTATTATAGCTACCGACTTTAAACTGTAAGACTGTTTCCAGACCTCTGCTGACAGAGAAACTTGTAATAGGCCACGACAATTATTTCCAATCCTTTTCATCCCATTCTTTGTTTCATTTTACACAAACTCGCGTTGTTGATAAGACACAAATCACCCAACAAACTAGTTAGTGCCCCATTTCAAAATTTATTGTTTCAAGTAATCTTTTGAGTGTTATACAGACCAAGGTGTCTAGTTAAATCGTACTGAGCATGTTCAATGTTGCTGAAAATTGTAATTTATTAGTGTGATGCTTCATAATTGTATAGACTGAAGTAAGTCCCAAACACTGAAGCATGTGACTGAATTGAATTCCAACAGTTTCCAGGGGCGTACACATGTATTATACCTTGTCGCCTCACAAAACAAACCATTAGTTACATTATTAGGCGCACATCTCCGCAGAGTGAAATACCGAAAGCACTGTCTGTTTATTTAATCACAGATTACGCTTGATTCTGTCACACAGGGAACTATATAAGGTATCTGACTGTAAAACGCAGTCCAAAATTGTGCACTGTAAAAGATGCGAGATTCATACGGCATTGAATATGTTGCTACTCTTCTGAGTCTCTACGCTGTGTTTATTGCCGGATTAATACCAGGGAGATGGTAAGGAATAAAGATAGTGTTAGGGTTTGAAGCCGGAAGTAGTTCCTGTGTGAAGATGGCAGATTTTAATCTTTGTTACATTAAATTAATTGTTTGCCCAAGGTCAAAGTACGTCTTCTTTTATCCACACAGAAATACATAACCAACACCTCACACATTTCGACGTTCTCAGTTTATACAGCGTCAATAAACAAGTTACAAACTAAAGCCACTAAATTATTATTTCATAATCATCGGCAATATAGCCACGGTGGTGTAGCGGTTAGGACGCTGGCCTTGTAATCCTGGGGGTCTCGGGTTCGATTCCCGGCGGTGCCCGAATTTATAACTTGTGTTGGGCAAGGCCGTGGTCTAGGCAACACGGAGGTTTCCTCCGGGGGCTTCCCCGGTTTCTCCGTGGCATCCCAACAATTACTCCATTCACACACAGAAGAAGGCAATGGCAAACCACTTCTGGATCATCTGCCAAGAACGTATATGAACAGGTCCCAGTCCGAGAAAAGGATGGAAGGATCCTGTTTATATGGACCTGTCGTCAGACATAACACTAAATAAATAAATAACCATCGGCAATGTGACACGCTGAACCAGTCACCTGCAGTGTCTCTAATATTAACAATCCATAATACTGGAGTGATTTTCTAGCGCTGACAGTATGGCATCAAGGCACTTCGTCACGAAATGTGTTGTAAGCAGCGAGCACATCCTTTGAAATAATATATAGCTGGCCATGCACAGGACCTACGTATCAAGAATTCAGTCAAAAATTCAGAACATTTTTAAATAGCAGAAAAACACCAGAACCATTAGCAAACCAACCGAAGCAATTTATTACGTATTCCTCGCTCTCTGGAGTTCTAAAAGTCTCTTTTCAGACCGTTATTATGAAGTGTAAGGAAACAGGAAATAAAGTCGAGTTGCAATGGTCTGTAGTATTATACGACGTGTTGATCCCAGAAAGCTTTTATGTCACGCCGGTCGCTTTTTTACAATTTCCTGTTTCGCACAAAGGAAAATGGCTTCAAAGTGCAGGGTGGAAAAGTTCACAAGAGTCAAAGTGTTGTCTTTTACACACGCCATCTGTTTCTGAGGCTATAGGAGAGACAAAATTGACGGTCCTGGTTAGAAAAGAATAACTAGGGGGGTTAAAGTAAATCCAAGCACTGGTATTGAAAAGTTTGCCTCCTCTCTACTTCCCGCTGTTTGCTCTCAGTTTCTCCGTTCTCATCTTCTCTCCCTTTTACATGCCCTCGTTACAGACGGCAAAGGCCCCCCGAATCACTGGTTCACTTCCCCTGGGATTCAAACTTGCGTCGAATTACGTTCTCCGCCAGAATGGTTCTGAACATTGCCAGGTAGAGCGCTAGTTCTGAGGGCCAGCAGAGAAAAAAATTACAGTGGAGACATCTTGACTTCCACAGCGTCCAAGATGCATGTCTCGAGTTGGGAAACGAAGTCGCTAGGGAAGGACTTGTTCAGGGAATCTGCGTTCTCTTCATTTTATTTTTCTTCCGTATTTTGTATTCTCTTCTATGGCACCTTGCAAAAAAATTCGCAGTAAGTAGCCATCATTAATGAAACTACGAAGTTAAAAGTTAATAATTATAGTTATTTTAAATTATTTGCGAACAAGTAAGAAATACTAAAATTACATTCGCGAAAAATAAACAGCATAACAAATTCTTCTCCTTTCCTATACAAAGATGTAACGATTATAAACTATAATTTTGTCTTGGTTTACTTTGTGTTTTAAACTTAATTGCTGACCAAAATAGAAGACATACATTGACAGGGTTTGAAAACAGGGTGCAAAGGACAGAATTTGTTACTAAGAAGTAGGAAGTAACGGGTTGTTACAAATTCATATAATAAGCTGTTTCATAATTTGCAAGTCTAAACTTCTTAAAACATTACTAGGGTGATGAAATCTAGGAAAATGACGTGAGAGAGACATAAAGCACAAATCTGGTAAATAAGAAATCAATGCCAAATTTTATTTGGAAAGCCTAAACGAAATAGGTTGGATACATGATTCAAAGCTCTAACGAGGTTGATGTGGAGTATTTTTGGGGCATATGATGGATTTTTTTCTGATTCGCCACCGTTTGTTAGTTAAGACTTTTTACGTTAATGTTGCTTTTATTATTGTCATCGTCAATTTTTACACAATAAAAAACATTCGCTTAACATTACATATCAACGGGATCCTTTGTTTGCAATAATAGAAGGAAGCAAGCAAGCAAATTGTACTGAAGATTGCGATGAATCGCCCTGATGACGGAGGCAGTATGACCTCTGAAACGTTGGTTAATATTGACCAGACTACACAGCTCAACAACCCAGAAGACAGAAATCTTCATACCCACTGCTGTGAAAACCTCAAAACCAACAAGCAAATTCTATTCTTTGTAACATTTTTCAATTGCCACTACAAGGTAATCTTTCATCAGTACTTTCCTATTCGTGTGGGAGACTTGGAACACTTGCTACGGACACTCTTACCTGACTCTTATTGAGCTTCAACTGCGTACCTGCACTTTCGCGAACCCTCCATCAAAGTTTCGCTATAATACAATGCGACATAACGCTAAAATGTTAACACTCCAAAACGGAGGCGAATTTGAAACATGTATTAGCATTTTCTGCTTCAAATTACCTCCCCAACAACCTCCATTAATATTGTACTGGAGTATTGAATCACCCGAAGTAAATAGGGGATGATATTAAAAATTAATCTTAAAGAAATGGGATATGGCATTGTGAAACGGATTCACATAGCACGAGGTAGGATACAGTGGTTGGCTGTTGCGAAATCAGTAGTTAACCGTTTGGATCCGCAACATGCTGGAAATTGAATGACTTTTAACTTCTAAAGGACTGCTACAAGGACATTGATAAATAGGCTTACTCCTTTTTTCTGAACGATTTCCTTCTTCATTAGTGACACAGTCTTTGGCACCCTACAAAATGAGGTAAAACGGACACATAAGTGCCTCTCTTCTTCCGAGGAAAGCAGCCAGTTACGTACATACATCCGTGCTCTGAGCAGAACAGCGTACCATTATTTTGTAGGGTTAACTATGGTTGTAGGTTCATTCACGTTGATACTGCAATTTGAGGAATCTTATCAGGAGCATAAAAATTATTAAACTGCCACCAACAGCCACAAAATTTTAACTGAACATTGTTTAAACAAATAAAACTCCGGCGGCCAAATAGTGGCCAGATGAAAGTCCTTAGACACTTCGCACACAAAATATTTTGAGAGGCCGGAAAGTAGTAACCCTTTACTTTACTACAACGAGCTGCAGGACTCTCGTATTTCTTTCTACACGTAGGTTCTGGGTAAATAGAACTTTCTCTAGATTAAC